ATATTTTTGTGTCAGTACATTAATGGCACATTTGAGCAGCATTAGTAAACTGTGTAAATATAAAGAAATGCCAAATCACATGCAAGGTTTTTCAGACCGGAGACCATAATCGTGTAATAATTTATTCTATTATGATATGAAACGTCCAATTTTTCTTTCAATAATGTTTTTGAAAGTCTTGCAAGAATTTCGTGATACTAAACTTTTTATTAGTTGTCATAGCAAGTGATTTTAAAAGTAGGATGGCTCACTTTTTATAAGATGACTTTTGGAAACCTAACTGTTTTATATTTACTACTACTACTTCTACTACAACTACTAGGCTACTACTACTACTACTATTATTATTATTATTATTTATGTTGTTTCTAGAAGTAGCAATTTTGATAACTCAATAGAAAAAAATATAACCACACACACATTGTTTGTCCACAAAATAATTACACATTATTAAATAAAAAGCGTCCCCGCACGAACCTCTACCTCCGCCAGCAGGACCTCAATTTCAGACTCAGTAAAGTTTTTTTTCTCTCTCTCTTTGTGCTCGTCATTCTCAAGCACAGAAATTCGGATATTGGCGTGTGCTCTTTTATATGGTAATAATATTAATTAGAGGGCGTTCACAAGGCGGAGAGCTGACACCAGTCAGCTGCGCACAATTTCAAGATCATTTGAGATTTATAAATGTCACATCTGGAAGAGAGGCGTACGCACGTGTTTTTGTGCGCAAGTTCGTTTTCTCCGAATCGCACTTACGCACTTTTGAGAAATGATATTTGAACAAATTTAGGACGGTTTATACACAACATTTTATAAATGAGGCCCCTAGACTCTCCTCATGAACCTGATCCAGTTCAAGTTTTTGAGTTTTGAGGATGCATTGAAAGCTACCAATATTGTTTTGCAAACACCTGTACTACTGACCATACTCATGCAAATAGTCTCCCAGCCTCGTCTGTCCACACAAATACAAATAACCCTCTTATCCAAGCCAACAGAGCTGCAACCAAAGCTGGCTGACAATTCAACAGAGGGCAAGACAGATCAATTTAGCCTTATAACCTCCTGTAAGGACCCCTCTGCATCATTTTGGGTCATAATTCTTAACCCTTTTGCTCCGAGGTCAAAAATAAAATAATCCAAAAGGAATGTGTACAGGATTTTTATTAGAATTTGGACCATAACTCTTATTTAAAGCTTAATCTAGAACTGCATCCAAATGAAATCTAAAGAGAGTTTTTAGATGTAACACTATTGCACATTGCAAATATACTGTATAAAATGCAGAAAATGTATTCTTTTTTATTATAAACTTTATGTTTAACTCAAACAACAACAAGCCAGTTAGAAGAGTGAGACACAGAAGCATGTTATTGTATATCTCATTTGGTAAGTTTAAAACATTAACATTGACATTTCAAAAAGTGGAAAATATTTATGAAATAATGTATCAGAATTTTTTATGATATAGTATTTTACATTAATGCTACACTTTAAAAAATTAATTTGTAAAATGACAGAAAAAGCACTGGCAGCTCATTACACAGGACATTATCCATACATTTTACAGACATTTCTGTTAACTCTAAAACACAACGCAATGCAGTGTAAAATTCAAAATACTGGTAAAACACCTGTAAAAAATACGGAAAATTCCTAATACAGTACATTGTCCCCTATTTTTTTTTACAGATTTTTAGATTGTACTCTTGACTAAGGATTTCTGAGACGAGCACAACAAAAATAGGCACGACACAGTCATCTGATTTGAATTTGAAATCACACCGCACACATTTTCATTAACGTGGCTTCGCCAATATTCGATATTCCAAAAGTTATTATTTGTGCCTTTCTGAATAAATTGTTTGACTTCGGCACATCCCTCATGAATCATGAAACCAAAGGGTATTAAAGCACTTTCAAAATAAGAGCACAAAAGAAAAAAGAATATAGACAAAATGAGACTTAATGTGTGCAACAAATTGCGTAGGCTACTTATGCACTATTCTATGGCACTTTATTAACCAAAAAGCGAAGTGTAGAATCTAGAATGTAGGACACTTCATGCACCCAACTGTTGCAGCTTTAATTACGTAACGGGGGGGGGGCGGGCTATCTGACTTCAACGTTGGATGACAAAATAACCTTATAAAATCCATACACTACACGGCTGAATACATATATAGTGTATAAGTGCATAGTGTATACTGCGTCATTTGGGATACAACTTTAGTGGCCTCCTCTGGTCAAAAGAGGAAGCCTAAAAAAAAAATGGGATGTAACAAACAGATTTAGTTTTTGTGTTGTGATGGAAGGCTATATGAAAACTCCCATTAGGATGATTCCAGGTGCATGCGCCCATAGCCACAGACATAAACAGTCCCTCTCAGCCAAGATCTAGAAAGCAATTGTAACCAACAACATACTAGCAAG